GCAATGTTAGAGGATACAAGAAACCAGCAGTATCCCATCTCTTGTCTGAGTCAGGGACAGCCATTTAGGCAGGGATTTCCTAATGTGTCACTGTTGTTGCCTTTGCACATGGGTGGCCATGTGGTGGGGTGGGGGTGGGCATGTGGTATTCACAAGGCAACACATTCTGAGCCATGCACCCCCCTCCCATTAAAATATTACCATGGAGGTGGGGAGTATGAAAACTACCCTGCTTGGCATGTTTCCTAAATTCTAATGTGAAAGCTTGGATTTATTTTGCTGAACAGCATATTAAAGGGTCAAATCCTGCTTACCCTACTCTATGATTAGTCCTACTAAATTTAGTTCTAATTATAGCACTTAATCCTTTGCTCACCCAAGGCTGAAATTTCTAGCAACTTCAAGGGGCGCTCTGCTTATAAATTTTTATTGCCCGAGAAAAGAGGACTCAGCTGATTTGGAACGCGAGGATGTCTCTCAATGCAAATTCAAGCAAAGGAAATTCGTGCAAGTTTGGAATAATCGGGGTTCCACAATATAGGGCCTTAGTTTACGATGAATTACAATTCAATGATCTTCCTCAGTCCTGGAATTCAAATCCTGCATGGGGGATTAAGAGCAGAAGATGTGATGCAAAATTATATTTTTTCCACATTATAATTTGATTACATCGGATTTATTATATGCATGTGCTAAACACAAACAGCTTTGGGGGCAGCGGCGGAGGGGGCGTGTGCCCTAGTTAATGGAGGATAGTTCTCTATTTAGAGGGCTGTCTGGTTCTAAAGCATTTTAAAGGTAAAGAATTCAAAGAAGGGAGAGAAGTCAGGACCTTGAAATTGCTCAACAGCAACACCTAGACAGCAGATTCGCAGCCTTCCTTGCCATGGTGGCATGCATTGCGTCTCAATTATAAATTATAACAATTCCTAAATTTGAACATCTACATATAAGATGACACCTGCAGATTTTATGCACACCTGTGTCATCTTCTTTCGGTGATACATTATGGGGCATTCCTAAACAGTTGGTGGTTGTAGGTGCCTTAAGGACTGCAGTCCAGAACGTCCTAACTCATGATCCCCATTCGGTATCTGAGACCCTACTTCATGCTGGGTCAAGTTTGGCGAGCCGCTATGAGCAGCAGGGCCTTCTCAGGAGTGGCACCAATTCTGTGGGATGCCCTTCCGAAGGAAGTTCCCCTTGACTGAACGGTGAGAATCTTCAGATATCAAGCAAAACCTGGCTGTGCCAGAAATGAGGATCTTGGTGATGATGATAATAAATAATAGTAATAATAATAGTAATAATAATAATCCAATTTATATACCACCCTTTATCAAAAGATCTCTGGGCAGTGTACAACATTTGAAACACATGATAAAACATCAATGATAAAAAATATAATAAAAACATAGTAAAAAGCACACTGACAGACAGCCTAATAGTAACATAATCATCATAATAACCGTCCTCTCCCCCACACTTTCACAGGCCATACGCCTGGGCAAAGAGGGGTGTTTTTCCTTGATGTCTAAATACCTGCAATAATGATCTTTGGGTTGCTTGATTTTTTTGCTTCTTGGTGGTCTGCCTTGCTCTTTGGGCCAGGTATTACAGGTTTTGTATTTCTGTTGAAATGTTTATATTTATCTGCTCCTGTTACGTTCCCCGCCCTTGATATTTGTGTTAGGCTGGGTTTTTTTTTTAATGTTTGCAGAAAATGTGTTAGCTACTTTGGAGTTTGTTGTAAGAAAAGCAGGATGATTTTTTTAAAAAATCAAAACAGTTCTAATAACAAAAGTACCCATAGCTAACGGCACTCAAATTACATTTGGTTCACTCTTCCATTGGTAAAGGAATAGCTTGTGTCCACTGTTAGAAGTGGGTCATTGGGCCTTTTTGAAATAAAATCTGGGCCAAGTTGATGAAGCAGAAATATTTTACTGGAAATACATACTTGCAAGGCGGGCCACCCGAAAAAGCGTGCACACCCTTTTTATTAAAAAACATGAATATATATACCCTTTTCCCAAGCGCAAGCCCCTCCTTTGCCAGCCGACTAAGAAGGGGAGTGCAAAGTTTACACCTATCACGTCCCCCTATTACAATGTTAAATCCGCCCCCATTCCCTTTCCCATTCTTCAAAGCCCCTTATTTGGTCAAAGTCTTTACATACAGTTTTTTAGCAATAAAGCCATGTTCCTCTATTTCACTGAAGCATGCAACATTTGTTCTTCTTGCTAAAAGCCCCTTAGAATGCTCTATATGCTCTATATACTGTGGGAAACCTGTGTTCCTAAGGCCCTTGGCATCGTATCATGTGGGTGGCAAGGAGAGAAATGTTGGAAATGGGTGTGTCAGAGAAAGAGACAAATGCAGACCGTCCAAGTGACCCTATTTTCCAGGGGAAGTGCTGGATTTACAGAATCCATCCCGCTTTCTGATTTGATCATGGAATGTCTTGCTTTTCCTTAGGACGTCCCTATTTTCATAGGAGAAATGTTGGAGGGGATGCAAAGGGTGCCAGAGAGAGAGAGTGTGGCGTTTGCCCTGCTATGTGTGTGACATCATACTAGGTTCATAGGGAAAGGGTTAACTAATTGTAAAATGACCAACCAATGGGAACTCAGGGGGCAGAGTTAACTGTGTATAAGGTTTAAGCACAGAGGTTTTTTAGTTAGTTAGAGTTATTGAGAAGTCAGTCTGCAGTTAGAAGAGACACAGAAGATGTGGGTTGGGCTAGCCTGGTGTGAGAGAGTGAGAGAATTTGTTAAGAGGAGTCAGTCAAACAGTTGAGATAATCAGTCAGAAGGTATTAGGAAGGTATAGGCTGGTAAAGAAACTAAAGTTAAGAAACTGACATGAATATTATCTGAGAAACCATAAACTTGTTAATGTCTGTAAAAATGTCTTGGGGTTTTTTTTTTTGGTTCACTTTTAACAACTGACTAGACTCAGTGTTTTTACCGGAGAGTAACTGGTTGGTAGGGACATGGGTGGCACTGTGGGTTAAACCACAGAGCCTAGGACTTGCCGATCAGAAGGTCGCGGTTCGAATCCCCGCAACGGGGTGAGCTCCCATTGCTCGGTCCCAGCTCCTGCCAACTTAGCAGTTTGAAAGCATGCCAAAGTGCAAGTAGATAAATAGGTACCACTCTGGCGGGAAAGTAAATGGCGTTTCCATGTGCTGCTCTGGTTCTCCAGAAGCGGCTTAGTCATGCTGGCCACATGACCCAGAAGCTGCACGCCAGCTCTCTCGGCCAATAAAGCAAGATGAGCGCCGCAACCCCAGAGTCAGCCACGACTGGACCTAACGGTCAGGGGTCCCTTTACCTTTTTAACTGGTTGGTGGCAGCGGGGAAGCGAGCACAGTGGTGGCACAGGGATCAATAGACCGTTAAACGTCCGGGGACCCTGTGTGATGGCCACAGAGAGAGAGAATATTTAGGGAGTTCTGGACCTGACACCACCCAACCCAAGCTTAGAGCTTTCCTCCTAACAACAGCGTCATTGCCACTTACCTGGAAGGTGCAGGGATGATGCAGGGTGGTGGTGAGGCCAGAGCGGTTTGGGCACAGCAACTGAGACCATCCAGCACTCTCACCTGTGCACCTGCAGAGTCCCAACCTCCTCTCCCTGCCTTATCCCTTCACTTTCCAGGTAAATGGCAAGTGGCTGGGGAAACCCAGCCAGATGGGCAGGGTAATAATAATAATAATAATAATAATAATAATAATAATCACTACTGCCAAGAAAACACCCTTGCGACGCCACCCCACCATGCCAGCCACTCCTGCATGCAGCTCCCAGTTGTTTACCTCCAACAGAGGGCAAAAAACAGGGTCCCCCATCCCTCCTATAGAAGCAGCCAACTCCGACAGCCTTTGGAGTTCCCTGCTCATCAGATCCTTGATCCATCTTGCCTGAGCGGCTTCTCTCTTTCAGCCCCATAAAAGGCTATTTCAGAAGGAAGCCTCATCAAAATTTCAAGATGATTCCCCGTACTCTTTACGTCCAGGAGCACTATTGCTACTTGCACACTCTGACCCCCGCTATATACATGCGCTAGGTGCACATTTACAAATCTGACAATTGACTATAATACTTGGACCGTTTAAGAGTTAACCACAAACTGCTAAAAGGAATAAACATTCACTTCAGTAGCCATTATATTCCAAGCCAGTGCATCTGTCATTTTTAATTTAAATCTGTATTACTTAGCTGTCTAAAACTTTGCACATAAGTGACAAGAGTTATCCATTCTTTTCTGTTACGGGGGAAATCACAATTTATTTATTTTTTGCTGCCTACTTACTGGGTAAAATGTCACAGTTCTGCAGCACATTAGGAAATGTGGAAAATAAATATTGTGTAGTAATATGAATAATTACTTCTCCTAACCAGTCAGAGATAGTATATATATATATATATATATATATATATATATATATGAGAATAAGAAAAATGGATACTAATAAAGAATTAAATGACACTATCATCTATGAACTTGCACTATGCGCATAAATCAGAAACATAACTATAGTAAGTTAGGGGTTTTTTTAGTCACTTGATGAAGTAGGTTCTTAGGGCAATACAAGATCTTGATGCTGCTTATTTAAGTAATAAGCAATTCAACAATAACTGACAAGGACAAGCTTGCAATGAATTTTTAACACTTTAAAGAAGCACTATGTTAATGTAGCTTTTTTAAAAGTTCACCCTCAAACACTAGGCGCTTATCCACCCCATACATTGAAAGCCCCCTTTATCACATTAACTGCCAGGGGTTTCCCCAAAGAATCCTGGGAACAGTTGTTTGTTATGGGTTCTGAGACCCTGCCTATCTCTGTCGCAGAACGATAACTCCCAGAGTTCCCTGGGAAGAAGGATTGGTAATGAAGCCACTTTAGATGTCATAGAATCACAGATTTGTAGAGTTGGAAGGGACCCTGAGGATTGTCTAATAATTCAACCCCCACAATGCAGGAATATACAGCTGTCCCATACGGGGATCAAAACCTGCAGCCTTGGCATTATCAGCACCACGCTCTAACCAGCTGAGCTATCCAGGTATACAATGAGCCCCAAGATAAAGGATTATGGGAAATTACAACTAAAATTTACAACTAGGAACTATGTATAAAGATGTTGTTGTTGTTTAGTCGTTTAGTCGTGTCCGACTCTTGATGACCCCATAGACCAGAGCACTCCAGGCACTCCTGTCTTCCACTGCCTCCCGCATTTTGGTCAAACTCATGCTGGTAGCTTCGAGAACACTGTCCAACCATCTCGTCCTCTGTCGTCCCCTTCTCCTTTCCCAACATCAGAGTCTTTTCCAGGGAGTCTTCTCTTCTCATGAGGTGGCCAAAGTATTGGAGCCTCAGCTTCACGATCTGTCCTTCCAGTGAGCACTCAGGGCTGATTTCCTTCAGAATGGAGAGGTTTGATCTTCTTGCAGTCCATGGGACTCTCAAGAGTCTCCTCCAGCACCATAATTCAAAAGCATCAATTCTTCGGCGATCAGCCTTCTTGATGGTCCAGCTTTCACTTCCATACATCACTACTGGGAAAACCATAGCTTTTACTATACGGACCTTTGTTGGCAGGGTGATGTCTCTACTTTTTAAGATGCTGTCTATAAAGATGACTCCTAACTAATTGTATGTATAAAGATGACTCCTAACTAATTGTGTCAAGGTGCAATGCTCTAGTGTTTCTCAACCTGTGGGTCCCCAGATGTTGTTGGACTACAACTCCCATCATTCCTAGCCAGCATGACCGGTGGTCAGGGATGATGGGAGTTGTAGTCCAACAACATCTGGGGACCCACAAGTTGAGAACTGCTGTAAGGCACTTACCTGGGAGCATGTCTCGTTAAACGTGGTGTCAACATTTGTTGGGGTGCTTTCAGATGAGCTAGAAGTCTGAGATTTCTATGGCACATCCTGATTCGTAAAAGGCACACATGCTGAAAATGGGACACCTGTGCACTTCAACTTCAGATGGGGACTCAAAAACACTCTGCATGCAAGCAATTTATGTGGTTCACGCAACCACTGGTTTGGCAGGGCTATCAGTGTGTGGATAGAGTCATGCAAGAAATGTGCATCAGGTTCTTAGAGGATTGTTGTTGTAGAGCAGTTATTGGTGTGCATGATTCTTTCCTAACCTGGTGCCCTGCAGACAGCTGCTGTCAGTCAATATAGACCGCCACTGGAGATCCTGTGGCCTTCTAAATATTGCTAGACTACAACTCCCATTATCCCTGAACACTGGCCAGTCTGGTTGGGGCTGATGGGAACTGGAGTTCCACGGCATCCACAAGCCACCATGTTGGTCACCCCCAAAATTATAGAGCAAAAGCAAGCCCTGCTCCCTTACAACTAAAATTTGGCATGGGAAGAGCAACGGAGGAAGGGGAAATCCTACACAATCCCCTACCCTTTTATTTATTTATTTTTTAAAATTTATGTGCCATTTGCATTCTAATACAGCCAATGTGAACGGGTGCCCAATTTGCATCAGTGCAGTGTGCGAGAAACGGTGCATTTTGAACCACAATTGGCTATATAAAACTGCACATTTGCTAAAGATATATACAGTCGTACCTTGGTTTTTGAACAGCTTAGTTCTGTAACGCTTTGCTTCCCGAACGCTGCAAACCCCGAAGGGACTGGTCCGGTTCGTGAACTATTTTTGAAAGCTGAACGTCTGACAGGGCTTCCGCGGCTTCCAATTGGCTGCAGGAGCTTCCTGCGGCCAACCAGAAGATGTTATTTGGTTTCTGAACGTTTTGGAAGTCGAGTGGACTTCCGGAACGGATTCCGTTCGACTTCCAAGGTACGACTGTATTGGGAACAAGGGGGGTTGGCAGAGTGAACCGCTACACTGGGAGACTGGATCTACTGTCTCTGTGGATCCTGCTGCCTGAGGTGGTCTCCTCAGTTTGCCTCATTGGAGGGCTGGCCCTGCCACCACCTGAGGTTCATGTTGGTCATTACATATTTTATTATTATTAATAATATTTTATTAGAAGAAATTCATTTATAAAAGGAGATGGGAAAGAAAGAAAGAAAGAAAGAAAGAAAGAAAGAAAGAAAGAAAGAAAGAAAGAAAACCAAGTGAAATTGGGGAAAAAAGAAAAAAATACTGTTATATTACCATAAATTAATATACAGATGTGTATATTCTTATTATCCCAATACACATGTAATTGTCAGTAACCCAATATATTCTATGTAAACTCATTCCAAATATCATTGTATTTATCCAACGAAAGTCCATCTATAAGCTGTCCGTTCATATGTTGCCAAGGGGAATCATATTTCTTTTCTCCCAGTTCATCAATATCAGTCTCTCAGCCACCGTTAGGGCTCATAGAATCCATTTTCACTGTCCTGTTGTCAATTTCCATACAATGGGTATATAGTTCAAGAGCATATTCACCTCTGAAAATCTTACATTTTTCCATAGTGGCTTGTTTAAGAGCATATTCACCTCTGAAAATCTTACATTTTTCCATAGTGGCTTGTTTATATAGTCCAGCACTTCCTCTCCAAAGTGTGGGATATAGGAGCCAACTCCTAGGGGTCGAGGGGTCTCCACCCCGCCAATAAAATATTTGATGGGGCTGCCCCCGAAGTTGATGGGCATTTCCATTCAAATAGTTTGTGTCCACCGCATATTGGACATATTATTGGCATATTGGGCCCCCCAATATTTTATTCAAGTTGGCACCCCTGGTGTGGGACATAGTGAAAGCAAATGTTTCAAAGAAGCATTGTCCATTCCAAAAAAGAAGAGCAATGGATTATGAGCAGGAGCTGCCAGCTCTGTAATCTGGAGACCCTTGCACATGGCAGAGGGAATTTCAAAATGGCAGCTACCTGTTGTCGAAGAGCCGCAGCCATGGCGCATGCAACAACCTTGTTTTTCTTTCTTTCTAAAAATCTCTCGAGCTATGAAATGAAATGTCTTTGGTGGTTTCCAAGCCCCCATTCATATTGGTTTTCCACGAACATATTGGCTTTTCATGTGCTGTGTTTTGCCCGCGTAAGTGATTTGCAGAAAGCCAATTTTGAGGCTTGAAGGTCAAGGATGATGGGCTCATCTTAACTTACGCCGCTGCTGCATTGCATCATTATTTTGTTGCCCAATGTCAGGCAGCGCACTCTTCACATAAGTTCTTCCCTCAGGCTATGTGGTATCTCTACTGCGACTGGCATAAAGGCATAGCTGGAGGGAGAGGGACCTAGTCGTCTGCAGAGGGTGTGACATTTCCCCCCAGCAAGGAATGAACTTAGGAATAAGGCGTACCCACCAGACAAGTAGGATATGTTAGTAGCACAGAAAGCCAACTCTTAAGTTAGTAATTTCCCCATTAGTTTCTGTTGTAGTTCCATTTGGTTTTGGCATGAATTCAGATTATTTAATATTTATGTCTCACTTAAAAAATAATAATTCGGGAGATGTTGTGGTTTTTAAAGTCAAAATTAGGAAAAATGGTAATAATCACATGTAAAAGAAACTGTATGCAAGACGTACATAAGGAGGCCATTTACAGGATAAAGGAAGTCTTTTATTTTTGTGTTATGTTTTCTTTGTGTAAGGGGATAGGAGTTTAATTTTAATAATTATATTGTCAATGGTGGTGGGTTTGTTTGTATGTATGAGTTGTTGTGGGCTATGTTGTAAATAAAGAAATAAATTCTGAAAAAAAATTCAATGTGGCTAATAATCATAAATCAATGTAACAAAATATAGGAATTAAATCACACATTCAAATTAAATCAAAATACGCACTCAACAAGTAAAACAGCAAAAGGAAACTGCATTTTATATACCATCCTCAGCGCAGCCATAATATCATTTTTTTACTTAATAGACAGATCTTTACGTAATGGAAATAACTGTAATTGGGAGATGTGCACTTTTTGTCCACCCCTATTAATGCAATAGGGACGCGGGTGGCGCTGTGGTCTAAAGCACAGAGCCTAGGGCTTGCCGATCAGAAGGTTGGCGGTTTGAATCCCCTTGGCAGTAAAGGTAAAGGGACCCCTGACCATTAGGTCCAGTCGTGACCGACTCTGGGTTGTAGCGCTCATCTCACTTTATTGGCCGAGGGAACCAGCATACAGCTTCCGGGTCATGTGACCAGCATGACTAAGCTGCTTCTGGCGAACCAGAGCAGCGCATGGAAACGCCGTTTACCTTCCCGCCAGATCTACTTGCACTTTGACGTGCTTTTGAACTGCTAGGTTGGCAGGAGCAGGGACTGAGCAATGGGGGCTCACCCCGTCGTGGGGATTCGAACCACCAACCTTCTGATTAGCAAGTTCTAGGCTCTGTGGTTTAACCCACAGCGCCAATGCTGCCCAACTCAGGCATTGGCTCAGAATTTACATCAAGCATCAATCCATATACTAAGGAAGTGGGAATTTTAGGTCCTTTCTTGTGTGGGGAGGGTGTCACTTTAGATTGGAGTGGGGAACTGGTGGACCTCAAACGCTGTGGAACTCTCTCCTACCAACCTCAGTCCCCATAGGCAATGATCAGGGATGGTGGCAGTTGTTCTTCCACAGCTCCTGGAGAGCTATTTGTTCAGCAGCCATCCTTCTAGAGGGCAATGTGCATTACTTCTCTTACTTAAAGTAATACCCTCCAACATTTCTCCAATGAAAATAGGGACATCCTATCAGTAGCGGAGCTTCGTGCTCCGGCACCGGGGGCACAGAGCAGGCGGGGGTGTGGCACGCGTCCTGGGGGCGTGACGTGCCGTCTGCAGGGGAGTGGCGCTCAGCGTGGGGGCGTGGCAGCCGCGATGGCACCCTACCAGGATTGTGGTGCCAGGGGGCAGTACGTTCCCCTCACCCCCCTCTTCCTCCACCAGTGCGTCCTAGTCAATAACAACTATTTTTATTGTTCTATGTTGCTTCCAACATAGATAAAAACATAACAAAACATTAAACATTAAAAAAACTTCCCTATACAGGGCTGCTTTCTGATGTCTTCTAAAGCTTGCAGAGTTACTTATCTCCTTGGCTCGGAGGTCGCATAACTCCATACCCTCCAA